TTTAAAATAAATCTTTATTGTTCAGATTATTACAAATGTGTTCCTCTTTTTTTTTTCTTCCGTCCCCTCAAATTGCTCCCCTCCACCAGGTTCCCACCCTCTGTCCTTTCCCCATCCCACATTGTCCTTATCCATAGGTGCACAGTTTTTATTCAGTCTCTTCCCGCACCCCCCACTCCCCTTTTCCCCAAGAATCATCAGTCCACTCCCCTTCCATACCTCTGATTCTATTATATTCACCAGTTATTATTCATCAGATTCTTTAATTGTCTTGGTTTTTAGTTTCACTTGTTGATAGTTCCTTTTTTTATATATTTTAGTTTTGCCTCCCTCAGAGATCAATAATACTTTGCAAGTTGGGAGAACAACATGGACTTACAATTAGTTCATCTAAACATTCCATAAACATTAATTGAGTAACTACTATGTACCACACACCAGGTAAGTACTTTGAAGATTATAAGGAAGAAAAACTCTCTGCCTAAAGAGGCTCAAATTTTACTTGAGGAAATAAAAAAGAGACATTGTTTTACAGCATCGGACAGAATGAAATAAGTACAAAATTTAGGTCAAGAAAAGTGCTGTGTGGATGCAAGAGGAAAAGCAACTCATTGTGTCAGAGAAGATCAGTAAAATTCTCATTTGCTTCTCTCCACCATGGGGAACAATGTAGACACTCAAGGATTTTACTGTGTCTCAGTTTTGATGAATCAGTATTAAGCTTTCTATTTAAAAAATCTGGAAGTGGATATGGCCAAAGGCCTGTCTTATCTCATAAGAACAAAGCCAAAAATGACATCTCTTCTTGGGGTTGCTACTACTACTCTAGCTCAGAACACAGTAGCTGCTTAACAGTCGCTAGTTAAATGCAGCTTGTGGGACCTAGTATGTGCTGAATAAACCAGTTTTTAAGAGTACCAGTCATTACCCATTTCTCAAATTGAATTCCATCAAAAAGAGTGAACGCACATTTTTAAATCATCTTATCTTGATTTAGAGCCTACTATTAGAAGATCTTAAAAAATTTCCCAGGGGAGGAAAAACAATTCTTTGGAATTCAAAGGAGACTCGCCTCTAAGGAGGAATGGACATCAGATACTCACTAAGGTCTATCCCCGTTCTGTGATTCCCAACTCTCAGACTCCCTTCCTTCCATCCTCTACTCCCCTCAAATTCTGTTTTACCTGCCAAGTCATTCAAATTCCACAGGTCATTTTGTGAAGATTGGACTCTTCTAGTCAAAAAGACAGCCGTGTAAGAGCCACAAGAAATACTCAGGACCAGTTATTTCTTGGACGTACAACCAAACTTTCTTTATACCACATCCAAATTGTCATTTGTTGGTACTCTATAACAACCAAGTGAATAATACTTAAAAAGCCATTCAATAAGTTAAGTTATTTAGTTTCTTGTGGGTTTGTGGCTAACATCTTTTTAAATGGACTCTACTAGAGGTACACAAAGGATGTACTGTGGAAGAGGTTAGGCTTCAGTAATTGTTCTTAGACATTTGAGAAGTCAAGTCAACCTCTCATGCCTGATAGGATCGGCAACCTAAGGAATAGCACTGTACCTCTAATTAAGAGTGAAGTCTTTGCCTAGCCAGTGTGGCCCAGGGTTGAGCATTGACCTATGAACCAGGAGGTCATGGTTTGATTCCTGGTCAAGGCACATGCCCAGCTTATATTCTCAATCCCCAGAGTGGGGTGTGCAGAAGGTAGCCGATCAATGATGCTCTCTTATCATTGATGTTTCTATCTCTCTCTCCTTCTCCCTTCCTCCCTGAAATCAATACAAATATATATTTTTTAAAAGAGTGAAGTCTTTTAAAAATTGAGGCTAAGGAAAAACCTTTGTTATATAATCTGTTTCAAACTCTTTAACTATGTAAATGTACATTCAAAATTTTATGGGACAGTTCACTAGTGTTGGACCAAGGGTCTTGACTTTTGGTTCAGATTATCTTTTCACAGAATTTAAAAATAGGAATTTCAGGGCATTTGCCTCTCAAAGCCCTCTCTTACTCCACGACGATCTGTGGGGCAGTCTCCAGGAACGATTTGAGGACATCACCTATAATTGTACAAGCAGTTCCTTGCTTAACTACAGGGGTGCCATTTAACTTAAAGTCATTATAGATGCAAAGGGCTATTCCAATTTTCCAGCAAATGAACATACACACGTTTGGAGAAGGGGACCCTTTTCCTGGCTATATAAATCCACCAAAGGGGTAGTAATGTGGCAGTAATGGGTACCTCCCACTTCCTATGTGTTTGCAGTAAGTACATCCATCAAGTCTTCAAGTTCTGGGTTATTTTGGTAGCTGTCTGTTCTCTAGTCCCTTGCTTTGTCAATGTGGTAATAAGACCCATAAATTTTAATAGACACACATCCATGGTCTGCAGAACCCATGTTTGAAATAAAAGTAATGGCATCAATGGACACTGTAAGTAATAATGATTTAAAACAGTGACTTCCCAGTAAAAAAAATAGAGGGGAAAAAATCACAATTCACAGAAGAAATTCAAATGACCATTAAACATATGAAAAATTCATTTTACTTGTAGTAAAATAAATTTAAAATTAAAATAGTAAGGCATTATTTTTCATTTATGAGACTAAAATAAGGTAAGAAGAGATGTCATTTGCACACTGTCGGCAGAGTGGATGGGCACAATGCTTTTGACAATAGTCAAATGCACATTCTCATTGACCTTCCACTTCAGACATTCCACTTCTAGGAAATTATTGGAGTAGAGATATATAAGTATGCAAAGCTTTGTGCACAAGAATGTTTATTGCAATATCAATGGCAGCACTGCAATATTTGAAATCTGTCTCCAATTAAAATTTATTGGTTGAATAATTCTAAATAGGATGTATATTTCCTTCCTTTAAAAATCATGTGTACATACATGTTTATGTATGCACGTATGTTCATACACACATATGCACAGACACAGAGAAAATAGTATGCAGTGATTACCTCTGGAACTCTGGAATGGGGGAAAGGAAAACTTTGACTTTTCTCTTTATTTATTATTATAATGTCTGATATTTTAAAAAACTACCTGTAGCACTTTTATAATTTTTAAAAAAGTAAACCTATAGAGTTTATATTCCACTTCTGAACTGGAAGCTAGCCAGCAATATACCAAAGAATGTTGAAAATATTTTTATGAAGTGCTCACAGGATACAAGCTATTTTTTTCTTGGGGACAAAAGTGGTTTTCAAAACATATAGCACTCATGAATTAAGATACATTGCCTAATCAGAAGCAAAGGGAACTTTGAATGAGATTATTCTGTGTACTAAGGTAGTTATCTGCATTAGATTAATGATAGATGAGGGACAATGACACAAACTATAAGCATGATGGAGGGATCTGGTTTTGTTGATAACCACACCAGGAAACCATCTGAGGCTCTGAGGAACAACAGACTTTTGGTGAGATTCCCTGAGCAGCACAGGCACTATTCACATCTTAAAAATTCAGGAGGTCTTCATCTAAGAGGAATCCCCAGAATTCCGCTTCCGTGGGTGCTCAGGCAGTTACTAAACTTCTCGGGAAATGTAAGCGAACCAAGAAATTTACATTCATAAAATAGCTTCTTTGTTCCCAACACAGCCATGTCCTTCCAGATACAGAAAGCCACTGCTGTGGTCTGAACGTTTGTGTCCCTCTCAAGTTCATGCTGAAATCTTACCAAAGATGATGGCAGTAGAGGTGGGGCTTTGGGAGGTGCCTAAGTCACGTGGGTGGAACTCTCCTGAGTGGGATTAGCGCCCTTATAAAAGAGGTCCCAGAGGCTCCCTGTCCCCTTCTGCCACCTGAGGATACAACGAGAAATCTTCCATCGGCACCCTGATCTCGGACTCACAGCCTCCACACTGTGAGAGAGAAGTTTCTGTTGTTTATAAGCTACTCAGTCTGTCATATTTTGTCACAGCAGCTTGAACAGACTGAAATAGACACTACGTATAAAATTCAAAAGATCAGGTTCAAGTTCTGTTTCTCTTCTTCCCCTGGGCCTGACGTAAGCCGCATACTACCCATGTCCCTATTTCTTAGCCTAGAAAGGAGGTCTAATAATACCTGTGCCAACTCCTTTCTCAGGCTGCCCCACGGCTGAAATGTGGTCATGCTGGGTAAGTGTTTTCAAAGCTGCGAAGTCCTCAGAGAATGTGACTCAGTATTATTTTGAAAGTGGGGACTGTTCAAGGATGGGCCTGAGTTTATGGCTTTTCACAAGTTCTGGTTCAGCAGAACATTATCTGTTTGTAAGGACTTCAAACAAAGTGGCGTTTCATTGTTTTATATATGGTAATCATTGCAGGCCACTTATCGTATGAAGTGTTATAGATGTGATTCCACACTGGCTCTCACAGATGATTTTATTAAAATATTGGCATTTTTAAATGCCAGAAAATGTAGAAACAATTCTACTTGACTTATTAGAGATACCCTCGGGGCACAGACTGTAGAAATTATTTACATCTTCTGAAAAAAAAAAGAAACACTGTCTAAATTTAATGAAAACACTAAGAAGCAGGTATTTTGCAGGCAAAAACACCTTTTTATTTTAAGCCACAAATAGTCAGCAGGTGGCTACAACTATCCATGTTTCATTAAAATCACATAAACCTAGGTACAAAAGCACCACTGATTATTGCTCTAGAAAAACTGCATGAAAAATTCAAATATGCACAGTAAAAACACCACAGTGTGCACAGGACTACATTTTTTAAAGCGAATGCATGGAATGCTGAATCAATTTTACACACAGCTTCCAATATTAAATTTATTTGACTTGAGGATGATGGAAAGTCTCCAAAAAGATGTATTATAAGAAGGTAAAATGTCCATCCTTATATATATTTTTGTATGCCAACTAGTTGAGTTTCTAAAAAATTAGCATTTACAAAAACTTGGTAAAAATAGCTTTTAAAAGTTGTCCCAAGAGGTACATAAAATCAACCCTTATTTTTTCATGGCAATTCATTCTCCCTTGTTATCTACAGATTCAGTTTTCTGTACCTGTGGGGGGGGGGGGGGAGGAAAAAAAATATAGTTACTATTAAAATGACTATAAGCCAAATAAAAGTCCACCCTGCCAACACACACACACACACACACACACACACACACACACACACACACACATTAGAACATCTGTTTTTTTTAGCAGCTCTACCCCCAAACCTATTTCAATGCTGGGTGTGAAAGACAAGGCAGGACTATATTACGCAAACACTTTGCTGCATTTATTGCTTTCTGCTTTTCAGACGACCGCAGAAGCTTTCCCTGCAAGCTCCCACTGCTCCGGAGAAACAGCACCACACCACTATCTGGTTCTAGTCACTGCAAACATGCAGAATTTCCCACTGTACCCTTCACTCTCACTGTTTCAATCTGCCCCTTTCCTGACAGGGTGCTGCTGGGTGGGGCACTTCTGGAGGCTGAGACACTAACAGTTGAGCGATAGATGTGGATCTGCAATAACATTACAGGCAATGAAAAGAGACATTAAGAACATGCTACCAGCAGCCGAAGGATCCAGCAATTTCTCAAGACACCGATTCAATCAGTGGGAGGTATTTATGCAAAGTACCTCTTCAACTTTAGTTTCACCATTTTCAGATGGTGCAGTACCTTCCTTTCCAGCTTCCTGCTTCTCCTCCTTCTTCCCTTTAGCACCTTTGTTAATCTTTGTTCCGGGTTCTTTCTAACAGAGGATCAAAGCACAGACAGAGTGAGTTAGACACGGTGTGCTGTTAGCTACAATACGTCAGTCTCCGTCCAAACACGAGGCAAAGCACAACCATGGCCAGCTTGGTGGCGTCTGGGGAGAAAATGAGAACCCAGTTTTTCTGGGCATCAACTGGGTTCTGCAGAGTCTCTGAGCATGTGAACAGGCTGCTTGGAGTCCACTGGACCTTCCCTTCTGCGAACACACATGTATTTGTTTGGTGGGCCTCCTCGCCGGCTGAGGCGGGAGGCGGTCCTGGCACGGAGAGAACAGCAGCAGCTGGTGACGGATGAGGCAAAGCCAGGGAAGAACCCAGCACGTGAAACACCTCACGTGGGGACACGGGTTTGAGTGACTAGAGAGCTGAGAGAGAACTTGAAAATGAAGACCCAGATCCTAGCTTTAAGACCAAGCTACAGAAGTGAGTGCTGCTTCGGCGGCATCGCCTGCTCACCCCACAGCACACACAGGTTCAGACCATTCGCACGGGGGGCCAGCGCTCTGAAGGGCAGGGTAGAGAAAAGCCACGTTGGGTCAGTTTCTGTGCTTTCGTTTCCTCATCAGCATCATGGCCTATTTGTACCCAGATCCGTAGGACTGATGTGAGGGTTACATGAGGAAAGCAATCGGAACAAGGTCTGGCATTGTACAGGGGCCATAAAAATGTTTGCTGGTATTGGTTATTATGTGATTATTACGAGTTATCAGACTGGCCGATCAAGACCAGGGAGTGATGTGAAGTCAGAAGCCCTTTCCCGAGGTCCTCCGGCTCTCGGCAGCAGGACTGCCCACGGCCAGGACCACCCTTCTGAGCACCCTGTGAACAGCATGCTCCGGAGGGAGAACCAAACCCCCGTGGACACGAGGCTTCCCAGAGCATCATTCGCTGACCTTCTTCGCCTTACTGACCAGATGGAACACCCATCCCTGGTAAAGAGCATTAACCTGTGCTATCTGCCTGTTGAGAAAGCCTGTAGCAGCAGGGTAACAGGTTTTCAGTCAGTACCGTCAGCCTGAAGCATTACATGTGATCTTTCCTCAGATGACTTTTGGGTAGGAAATTATAATTTATTCATTGTTTAAAAAGCTAAAGCGGGAGTGGGAGCACCTCTTACCTTAGCAGATGTTTTTCTTGCTTTAGGTTCAGGTTTTGGTGGAGCCGGTTTCTGCAAGGATAAATTAAATTATGCGAATACTGACAAAGACAGCCCTCAGTATAAACCTCCCTCCCTCCCCCCCAAAAAAACACCCCCCAAAAAACAAAAAACTAAACCAGAAAGACACAGAAAGGCTGCAAAAGACAGCAGTGCATTTTGACTATGATTTTGTTTCATTTAAGAAATATCTCGTTCTATTTTCAGCATCAGCTAACAGCATAAAACTCTGCAATTTCATAACTACTTTCATCTGGGTCCTCAAGTGAATGGCAGGTGAGATTTAAAAGCCGACTCATTATTCCCGAGTCCAGAATAGCTCTTCTCCGGGAACAGGTTAAGCTTCTATCTCTGATGCCTGGCACTCCCTTTTATCACAGCACAGCAGCAGGGGGAATGACTCAGGCTCGCGGCCAAATGACTCAATGAATTCGGTCACACCAGCCTCTGCCCAACCGTCTAGAAATCACGGCATGACCACAGGCAAAGCCCATCCTGTAATGACGACTGCTGCCTGGGAAGTATTTCAGAATCATTTCCAAACCCTTCCACCTCTGATGGAGATTTCAAGTTCTGGAGCCAAGCATCTTCTCACTGGCATGGCCTCCAGTGCCAGCTCACGGTGGACAGAACCTCCTGCCCACCCAGGCGCTGGCTCATTTTGTCCCGAGAGTTTTCTATGAAGAACGTGATTGTAACGACGAAATGTCTACTGTTAGCCCCCAAAGTTGAAGACTTTTCACAGATCGTATTAACCAGGGAGCCCACGAGGCAACTCTGTTTCTGCTGCCTCGTATGGTTCTCCTTCCCATTCCCTGTGGCCACGGTTCCCTCCACACAGGCCCCGAGCACAGGCAGCACATGAGGACGCCGGGGAAAACCACCAATGTGGACCTCTGGTTTTCTGTAGCTATTTTAGGACACATATTTCTCTCCTTCAGCTGGAAAAAATACATGTACACCTCTCCTGGCACCGGGGGGGGGGGGGGGGAGGTGGTTTTTAAATAGAAAACACGGGCCAGGGTCTCCCCCTGTGGAGAAAAATACATGTTCCTCCCCAAGGCCTCTAGGTGTTTCGGGTTCATATTGAATCAGCTCTTTTCATCAAAGTAAAACTGTAGACAGTGCAATTCCCGAAGGCTGGCTGTTAGACGCGACCTTCCGAAGGAAAAGAGAAAACTGGGCTTGAAAAGTCAGGGATGCTTTCATTCATCTTCTTACCACTCTCAAGCTGGGTCTGTTCCCCCAATACAGCAGCTTGCATGGCCCTCAGACTGTGAGGATTTTAAGCTTTACTTTTAGCTTTGATATATTGTATTAACATACCCTTGTTTTCTCAATTTACAGCAAAGAATTTCCCTTTCTAGTATTTCTGTAAGACAGTCTCTCCCCACCTCCCAACGCAGCATTCACGTGTTTTGATGGGACAGGAAATGACGAGGATTCAGCCTGTAACCCCATCGGCCCCTGAGGAGGCTCTGCGTCAGCGCCAGCAGGGGTGATCTCAGTGGCAGGTGCTTAGATTGCCGGTTCCTGGTGCTCAGGAAAAGCCTTGTTTTTAGTTTTGGGTATGATGTGACTTACAAGGTCTGTCTCCTTAATGGACTAGAGATCCATGGAATACAATGGCTTTCAGTAAAATCTATAGTTAAGCCAGTGGTCGGCAAACTCATTAGTCAACAGAGCCAAATGTAAACAGAATAACGATTGAAATTTCTTTTTGAGAGCCGAAAACCGACTTCTGCATATGGGCCACGAAGTTTCAATCGCACTGTACGTGCGCGCCCGCACGGGGTATTTTGTGGAAGAGTCACACTCAAGGGGCCAAAGAGCCACCTGTGGCTCGAGAGCTGCAGTTTGCCGATCACTGAGTTAAGCTAAAGGGAGTTTAAACTAACATCTGAGCCTCGCTGAAAGTTACTCTGAGACAGAGCACACCATCTTTGAGGAATTTCGGGAGAATCTCAAATAACTGTACACACATAACCGCACCTCCCAGTTCTCCCCTGATACCACTTCCTGAGGCTAGGACTCGTGTGAAACACTGGCTCACTCAACTCAAACCCAGTCACACTTATGAATCTGTGACCGGTCCTCATATCCATTTCCGCTTTGATTTCCTAACCGGTGCCAGGCACGGGTGTTGACAGAGGATGAATTCCATGCTTCCTCAAAGGCCAAAGGAGCTTGCGGCTCCTGTACGATCTAGTATGGGGATATCAGCTGTCAGCTGAAGTCAAAGCCTTCTCCTTACATCCCCGTGGGCAGTGCGGGCTGCTGGCATTTTAACCAGAGAGCCAGGCTGACCTGTCTTCGCAGAATGCAGACTGGACACCAAGCAGCAGCAACAGGGAGGAGCACAAGAGCCAGCGAGGAGCCCAGTGTGGTGAACGAGCTGGAGCACGCTCATCACTGAGGCCTGGCACACCTGCCATCCCTGCTTTAATGATCTAACTCTCACTTCTTCCCTGGGCCTGGCCCACAAAGACAGGCTCCAAGTGGCAAAGTGGAATCATTACTTTTTCAAGGATTCTCTAGTTCTGAAATGAGGCTAAAGCATAACTTTTAGAACATTTTGACAGAGAATCAGAGTTCTAGTCCACTTTAGCACATCATTGGCTACAACTTTGCTTAATGTACCTGTTTTGTTTCAGAAATCTGGCAATGTCAAACAACTTCCTGAGCTTCATACTCTTGGAAATGGGACTGGGCACTGTTTTTCATGGACACATTTTATCAGGGGAATTGCTTGGCAACCATGGTTGCATTTGCTGTATGCTGTGACCCATGTAATTTCCAAAAAAGCACATGAAAAACTTAAGGGACGCTTCCTTCTGCTGCTCTGCTCTGGACACGGGGAACATGAACCCTGAGGAACTAATACCAGGGGTTCTAGAGTACTCACCGCTGACAATCTGGCAGACCGTCTTGTGGGCTACAAAGGGAATGGAAAAAGACATATTTTTGATGATTATGATGCCATTGTAATAGCCTTGCTATTATTTATTTTTATTAATATATATATATATATATACACACACACAATATTATTATTAAGGTATTATACGTAACAGGAAAGGAGGCAAGGGAAGACTGGATAGACGCGTGCCCAGTAAGGTCTGAGTGACATGGGAAGGCACTTGCCTGTCAGTCACGCCTGGAATCTAGTCTGGCAGACGGGTGTGGCCATGCCAGTGTCTGGGGGGAGAGGGGATGGGGGACACTGAACATTCCAACCAAAGGAAGTTCACTCTCTTTCTCTCTGGTGCGTAGGGTTTCAGGCTCTTCCATGGCAGTGGGTAACCCCCGTGTCCATGTGGCTCATGGGACTACACAATGGACTGAACCTGGACTATAATTAGCTTGGATGCTGAACCACACCCAGTAGCAACATGAAACGAAAGCTCTGGACACTGGCCTTACGTTTGGCGTTGCTGAACTCCCAGCTGCACCTTTTCCAGGACTGGCTTAAGGGCAGGGTCTTAGGAGCCCAAGAAAAGCAACTTCATGCAAATAAGGCCTTTTCCACATCCCATCCTCCCCTGGGGGCTTCTGAAAATGCATATTTCAGCAATACCCCGAGAACCTCATTCCCACTCACGACTGAGAAATCTGGCCCAGTAACAACTCCTGCAACGATTATACACAACTAAGTTGATTTTAAAAAATTCTTCCTTGATATCTTATATTTGTGGAAAGAATGTAATGTTTGGCTCCCATCACCCTCTCTGGGTGAGTACAGTCACCCTGGGCACCCTAATGCTCAAGAGGAAGTTTCTGAAGGGGTGTGAGCACACTGTTCAAAGAAATGGCCTCTCCCGGCTAAGGGAGTGGAAAGAAAAGGAAGACGAGTTTAGGCTCCGAACCATAATCTCTACTTTTCCTAATCTCTACTTCTGTGACAAAACTGACAGCGGGAACATTGAGGTGCTATTTAAGAACTAGCTTCCAGTGTGACTCTTATGCCTTACAAATGGAACTAAAGCTTGTAAGTTAACACAAGGGACATATAATTGTGTAGAAACCAAAATAATAGGAGGACCCAGCCTTGCTACCATGTTAGAAAAGAGAATGACAACAAATCTTAGGCAGTTAATGAGAAATGTTTCCTCTAACCTGAAACAAAATAAACACATTTATGTCTCCACTATATGTATATGTTTAAAGATTTAAATAGTCTCCCTAATCTTTTCCTTTAATTTGGAAGTTTATAGAATTTAGAGAGAAACTGTGCTGAGAATGATGTGTTTCAGGAAATCTTTTCTTCTTCAGTGATGGTGCATGTTAGCAAATAAGATGGCAAAGAGAATCTAAAATAACAGGACACTTCCAGGCAGTTCAGAAATAAGCACACAGAACTGATATTCCACTCACCACCAGCAAAAGATGGCTCCCCAAGGGATTTCACATTCTACAAGTACGACTGCCTTTCTTTACGCGTCCTAGAAGCAAACACTCCACGCGTTCTGTCTGTTTTGTTCCCTGCTCTAGCCCTGGCAGAATAATATGCCACTTAACATATTGTAGGTGCTCAATACCATTTGCTCAAAAAAATGAACTCAAGCTTTTCCCTAATTCTTGCTGCCTTATGCAGACGTTGCCTCATTCCAGTAGCTTAAATGTTTCAAATAATTCTTTAAGGAAGTTAGCAAACATGATCAGTAGCAGCCTCATGCCATGGGTGCAAAGGATCATGCAATTCTTGAAGTTGTGCTTAGGCAAGTCGAGGTCAGCTGGTCAGGCCAAACTGGAAGGAATATTTCTTGCCATGTCTACATCTAAGAAGTTTCTTGCTGAAAATAGCCACAGGAAGCTAAACTCATCTTCCTTTAAACTACAGGGGGGAAAAAAATGAAGGGCCAGAGCCTTCAAGAATAGTTTAAACCCTGGGGTCTCAGGGAAAGATCAGAGCTAAACTTCAGGCGACCAGCAGAAGGGGGTCGTGCAGGTTAAATGGTGGCTATGTTATAATCATGGCACAGGGAAAGAGGCGGTACCAATGGGCATCCTAACTGCACAGGGGACTACCTGTGTCAGATGCTCCCTGGGGCACACCACTATGACAGTGCACCAAGTATCACTGGAATCAGAACCCAAGTTCTGTGACGCCTTTCCCAGTATGGGGAGTTGCATAAATTGGTATTACAGAAGAAAAGGCAACGTTATCGGGTGAGTTGTTCTTCAACGCAGAATCAGAGCATGGAGGAGCAATGAGCACCTGGCAATTAGCAAACAGAGCTCAGCTTCGATGCTTCTGTGTGGCCTCCAGAGCTACTCACACTGCCTCACGGGAAAGTGCTTAGAAAGACAGTCTAGGAGAGGAAACGTGGCAGCCTCTACGCTAAAGAGGGGTGAACAGACCTTGCGGATCTCTCTCCATTGGGTACCACGCTGGCCTCACTTCACCGTTCACCTCATCTTCTGTCTCCCGTCTGTGCCCCTCCTGCACCGGACCTTCCTCTCCAACAGCAGCTCCAGTGCCTAATGGGCCTGCTGGGCCCTCAGTAAATGTGGAGGTGGACACTACAAATGTGCAGCAAGTGTGAACTTGGGAGGGGTGCCAGGTCACCACCTCATCTCACTGCACTTCAGGGATGATTGCTGTCATGAACAGCAAGGCAAGACCCTTGGCCAGCACAAAGATTATGACTCCTGAAGGCTCCAGTGTTGGCTAGCATTTTTAGCAATAAAGTCTCTTAAAATTAAGGTATGTACATTGTTTTTTAGGCATAATGCTCTTGCACACTTAACACATGACAGTATAGTGTAAATATAATTTTTTTTAAAAATCCTCACCTGAGGATATATTTTGATTTTTAGAGAGAGAGTAACATGGATCGGTTGCCTCCTGTATAAACCCTGACCGGGGATCGAATCAGCAATCTAGGTGTGTGCCCTGACCAAGAATCCAACATACTACCTCTTAGTGCATGGGACAACGCTTCAATCATGAGCCACTTGGCCAGGGTGTAAATATAACTTTTATATGGACTGGGAGACAAAAAAACCCGCATATGACTTGCTTTATTGTGATATTTGCTTTATGGTCTAGAACCAAACCTGCCATGCCTCCTCCAACGTGTGCCTGCACTCAGTCAGGTCCTATTCAGTGTAGGGGCTGAAAGGGGCTAAATATTATACGTTAAGCATTACTCATAACTGCCTCCCTAACCAACCAGCTGTCCTGATAGCCACTGAAGTGAGGCCAAAGCACACGAAAAATCCCCCCACATTTGCTGTTGCTCCTCTCCTCCCATCGTGAACACCCAAACACACGGAGAGGCGGGTGATGTCAGAGAGCCCTGTGGGATTTCCAGGGAGACATTCCAGCCAAGCCCTGCTCTGCGGGGCCTGGAAGCTGCTCTGATGCAAAGGCTCCCGACCCTTTTATCATCCAGGTCCAGGACCGGAGCTGGAAAATCAAAAGTCTAGGAAATTAATGCAGAAACAAAGTTTGTTTCTCTGGGCTGTCTAAAGTAACAATCCCTAAAAACCACATCTTTTACTGTAAAATCGTTTTATGACTTCCTGCCTACAATTTACCAGCTCTTCTTTCTATGCTATTAAAAAAAAAAAAAAAGAATTTTCTTAAATTCTCCTTTCTGGGAACCATCAGAAGAGATTTTTCTCTTTCCCTGAAAACAGTGGAGGCTGAAAGGTACCTTTCACTCAATCAGCAGAACTGGGTGCATGTGCAAGTTTGACGTGCTTGGTGTGCACCTTCCTGGAAAGTTCTATCAGCGTTCATAGCCTTAAAATCTGTAAACGATTGGATTAGATTAGACTTAAAATAGATTAGACTGCTATTTCTTTCCTCTTTGAAACACTCGAATTCGAAGTATTCACTAGAGACTTAGGTTATTGGGCAGGACCACTATGGAAATAACTATAGTAAGAATTTCTCTCGAATTGTTGTTTGTGAATCCTCAGGAAAAGTGACCAAAAGAATGGTTTTCAAGGAAGGAAGGAAGGCAAGCTTTCAGAATGATAGATCACCAAGAGAATTACAGAACAAAATGAGGAGTTGTTACTATGGTATAATTGTGCTGGTCACAATGGAATTATTCAGTATGCATTTATCTTTTTAATTTAAAAAAATATTTTATTGATTTTTTACAGAGAGGAAGAGAGAGGGATAGAGAGTTAGAAACATTGATGAGAGAGAATCATCGACCAGCTGCCTCCTGCACACCCCCCACTGTGGAAATGCCCGCAACCAAGGTACATGCCCTTGACCGGAATTGAACCTGGGACCCTTCAGTCCGCAGGCCGACGCTCTATCCAGAGCCAAACCAGTTTTGGCTCAGTATGCATTTATTAACTTGCTTATCATTCCCTGGGTTGGAGACATTTCTGGTGAAGGCTACTCTGAAAGACATAGATTCTTTTACTTTTATGTCCTAGAGGCAAAAGCAACACAGAAGTCTAATCTTGTTATGACAAGGTTCACTGGGATAGAGATAGCTAGATTCAAGTAGAATCTTTGGACTTTGCTGAAGTCTGCTTGAAGCATATGGGTCATTCCTTTGGAATTTGTAAATATGTTTTATTTTTTATGAGATTTCCTCATGCTTCTGAGCCTGACCAGGTACTTTCAAACAAAACTCAAAGTTCAAGCTGCTTTTACTTCCCCAAAACAAATGAGGACCTAAATAGAAATGACCTTTGCAAAACTGGGAGGTAGGGAAAGATGTAAATCAGCGCCGTGGCAGAGAAAAAACACTGGATGCTCAGAGTGTTATGATAACCACAAGACGGGCATGAGGACAGAGGACTTTGAAGCAGGACATGCAGCTATCTTTCGTGGTTCTGCCATTCACAGGTTGTGACTCGTGGGGAAAATCATCTATGTCTCTGAGGAGGCTGTTTGCATTAGTGAAAATGAGGACAAAAACATTGCCTATTATCAAACAGCACTTCTCTGATGTTCTTTATTTCCTTCCCTTGTTTTATTTTATTTTATTTTTTTATAGCAAATATCCCATCCTATTTTACTCTCACCCTGCTAAAATGGAAGCTCCATGAAGGCAGAGATTTTTGCTTCTTTTGTTCACTGAAGACTCTTCCAGAGCCTAGAACAGAGCCTGGTGCATATGGGTGCTCAATACAGTTCTTTCAAGGAATGAATCTGTTTTGTTCTCATTTCAGGGTTATTGTAAAGTTCAGAAAAAATAATGGATGCAAAAAGGCTTTGTAAATGGCCAAGTGTAATGACCATTGGTCATTTATTGCCTAAATACTAAACTGCACCACACCCACAAATATCACGGAAGGAATAGAAGCTTTTTAAATCCTTGGTAAAACGATTCCTTCGCTATAGTCAGGGCTGTGCACACTCAATGGCCTAACTAGAAAATCTAAACAATTCAGTGGGGGTAAAATCAATCAATAACTGTCTGACAGTTCTTACCCTAAACCCTAAATCACTAGCTAACCCACTGACGTTTTCACTTTTCAAACAATTGTGTTGATGTCTTGAAGAAATATCATGGGTTTTAACTTGGTTTTAGTTTAAATGACAAGTAGAGTCTTGTCTAGTAAATATTTTTGTTAACAATGCTATCATACATATAAATATATAAAATAGAATATTAAAAATAATAATTTAGAAATAAAAATACAGCATACCTCTCAGAATAGTTAAATAAAGTAAATATCTCAGTAAAGTGAGCTGTACAAGTTTTTTATTTCCCAGTCCACATAATAGTTGTGTTTACAGTCTATTAAGTGTTCAATAACATTATGCTTATAAAAACAATGTACATATTTTAATAAAAATACTTTACTGCTAAAAGATGTGTATCATCATCTGAGCCTTCAACAGTTGCCATAAACTTCAATTTATAAAATACGCAAGATCTGCAAAGCACAATAAAGTGAATCACAAAATGAGTTGTGCCTGTAATATAAATAATAAAAATCCTAGGACCAAAGCAATATGTATGAGATAGCTGTATAAACAAAAATCTTTTACATATATTCTAACAAGCTCTATTGCTTTTAGTGAAGAAGGATCGAAAAGACTGTTTTCACTATTCAAGATCTATTGTGTTCAGTGGTTTCTAGATTTTCTGACTGATAGATCAATTTCAATAGCAATCCCTAGGGAGAAACCCAAATGCATTTCATGCCCAAATCTAAAAACATTAACATTCATTACTTTTAGCCAACTGACCTACAGATTATATTTTTCCATTTCTAAGAAAATTCAAACATTCATTATTTTTTGGTTGGTTCTAACATTTGTATAGTGACTTGGATCACAAACTTCACCTCTCAAACTGTTAGACTGAATGCTCAACAGGTGGATGGTGGGGATGAGGTTATAGGCAGTTTTGTTTTAAAATTATTTCTTTATAGATTCTGTTAAAGTTTTTCCACTTGGCTGAATGAATTTCCTTGTACAAATCCTCTGTAGTAGAGATTTTACTACTACGATAAACTCTTCTAGATTATTATCCACAATATGAATCACCCAATCAAAGAATCTTTAACTAGATATTGTTTTTATCTATCTCACGACCTATTTTAGTTTATTAGTTCATTAGTAAGAGCTGCAGTTTTGCAACACACTGCGAACTCTGTGCAAAAATGAATGACTGTCACCATAGTTACTAAAAAGTCACTTACTATTTTTTCATCCGTCTCCTTTATAAGTTCATGATATTACCACAGCAGGTCAAATGCAAGCATCTCTTCCAAGATCCTAGCTGTTGGAGGTTTCTGTATATTAATACAGAGCTTCTTTGAATTATTGCCCTAAGACTTTTTCTGATTAAAAAAACCCCAACTTTAGTATTTTGAAATCTCGTGTATCCTTCCATAGTTTTTGGCTTTAGGCATGACTCCTTAGGCAAATTTCAGAAGCTAAAAAGTAATATATAATTCACTCACTGGAGCAGAGCATTTATGAGATTAATAGTCTTTGATTTCCTTGCTGTGAAAGGCAGACTTTGTTCTCTTTGATGAATTTACCTATTATCTCGATTTTTGCCCAGAAGGAATTCTCAGTATCTGCTTTAATAAGACAGCAGGACCCACAGGTAGAAACATAAACAACGCAGTAAGTGGAAAATGACTCATCTGTGAACCGACTGAAACATACCCAGGCCGAGGGAGACTGCGCAGGGACACTCCCTGGCTTATGTAGTCTCAACAACCTTGTACAGGAATAGTCATCTTTCAGATGCAGACAATCATAACAATATTAAAAATTCCAGTTACATAACTGAAGACAGGATGTCAAAGATACACTTACCTCCTGTTTAGTTATTTTGGATCCATCCTTGCCCTCTGTATTCTCTGGAGACTAGAAAGAAAATATGTCAGTAAATTGTATTTAAATTGAGAAACACACATTAGAGGGAGATTTTTTTTTAAAAGGCTATTTAAATGATCTGTACCATATATATCAACAGATATCTTGTGGGGGGGAAAGTAAGTTTATAAGAGGATATGTTGTTTACACACACACACACACACACACACACACACACACACACTGCATAATTGCTTTCATTTTTAAACAAGGAGTGGTGCAAGAATTGATCTGAGTCCTTGTTCTTAATGTACATTCACCCTAAGCAATTTTCATTCTTTTTTTTTTTTTTTAATATATTTTACTGATTTTTCAGAAAGAGGAAGAGAGAGGGATAGAGAGTTAGAAACATCGATGAGAGAGAATCATCGATCAGCTGCCTCTTGCACACCCTCTACTGAGGATGTGCCCGCAATCAAGGTACATGCCCTTGATCGGAATTGAACCTGGGACCCTTCAGTCTGAAGGCTGACGCGCTATCTACTGAGCCAAACCAGTTTCGGCTCGATTTTCATTCTTGTGGAAGCCAGCAGTCAGCAGCAGGGGTGTCTGGGACCCACCTACATGTTCAGTTGCTTTGGTTCTCTGAGATGAGAGCAGGAGGTCTAGCATTGATTTCTAGCCTATTTCTTGATATGACTTGACTTTATAGTTACTTTTTTTTTTTTTTTTAAATAAAATATTACTGTTTTTTGCCCTAGCCGGTTTGGCTCAGTGGACAGAATGTCGGCCTGCGGACTGAAAGGTCCCAGGTTCTATTCTAGTCAGGTCACATGCCTGGGGTTTGATCTCCATCCCCAGTAGAGGGTGTGCAGGAGGCAGCTGATTAATGATTCTTTCTTAATATTGATGTTTCTATCTCTCTCTCCCTCTCCTTTCTTCTCTGAAATCAATAAATTTTTTTTAAGTTACTATTTTTCCATTATCATCTCCAAATCTTGACCACCCTCCCAGCTTCACAGGACAGCTAAGAGTCCTGCCACCCGAGCTGATTGGCTCCCCGATGTTAATCCTGCCCTGTGCAGCATCCACCCACTCTCGTGACGGTTTAAACCTGCCTCTTTTATTGGCTTGCATACAATGGGGAAAGTATATTTAGATCTACATGACATACAAACTACCCCAATATACTTTAATATGCCCCAATATATTTTTATTGGCTAAGACAATAAGATTAAAACAATTAGAAAATTAAACTACTTAATATATGAATAGAGTTCCCATTAGAAAAAAATACAAATAGCAAACTGATGTTTGGCACAACATTTGGCATAGCAAAATAAAGCAGCTGATGCCTTATCTAATATGGGGGGTGAAATAAGATCATAAAACCCACTGTTTGGTGGGGCAGGTGACACTAAATTAATATAATATTTTCAAAGAATAACCTGGGAATATGAAAAAGATACATACAACAAATCATATAATAACCCAGTAATTCCAATTTTAGAACCAGGACTCAAGGAAAGACTCTGGGGGAAAAAAAGATATTGTTTTATTTGTATTTTTTTTCTAATGTAGAATAACTGGAAATTACTAGAAATGTTTAAATAAATACACTAAGTAACTATGAGTGCAATGAGATTAAAAAATATTTAGACTACATGACTACATAGGAAGTACACATAAAATAATGCTAAATTTAAACACAAAATACTACATAAAACATAGGTCAGAAGTATATAAAGTCTTTGAAAAAGACAAAAGCTTTTCTTCAAGTCAAAGGACCTAGTGAATCTTCTCTTCTTCCTAGGGTTTCCCGTTACTCAGCAGTTCAACCTCTCTCTAGAACTCCCTAGACCCATGGCGTTCTCTTCTGTTTCCCAAAACAATGAACTTTTCCCCCTCCCCCAAGAAACCCCCTCTATCATACAGGGAAGCTGAGCCTCCCTTTTCTGTTCTCCATGCTCTTGCACAGGATTGTCTGGCTCACAGATCTACTGCTACATGAGTGAGCGAGTTAGGGAGGGCAAGTCTTAAAAAGTTTGCCCACATGAAGACAACCCCCAAACGGGCCATTCAGCTGTGCTCACTTCACAAACTCCGCCCTCCTGGTCACAAACCGGACCCTCTGTTGTCAAGGAGTGCTGGACTGCCCTGCATACCTGTCAGGCCACTAGGTAGATTTAAATCTGGGGTACTCTCTACCTCTTACTAATATTCATTTAAAAAAGCAGCACATAGCTATTGTGTTAAATGACAATGAAAAAACAAAAAATGATTAAATGGCATTATTTTTCAATATTTTTCTAAGCAGATTAGTGATAGCAATGTGACTGAGAGATCACTCTCTAAACACTGACCTAATAATGTTTGAAGTGGATGTAAGTTACTGAAAAAGAGAAACTTGAAAAGATGTCACATAAAAACAAAACAAAACAGGTGCAACTGAAAATATAATGCCTTCAGGTAAATGAACATAAGACTAGAGAGGTGAAGAACTACAACTCTAGGCAAAGCTGGTTTCTCTGGCAATCTCTCCGCAAGTGCTTTCTACTAACAAGCAGGTAACAAAGGGACAGTCAGGAACAACCCAGCTGATCTTTACCCTGGGATTGGTGTGGCACTGTGCTACGAATGCAGGTCAGGACATCAGCTTAGAACTTTCAATGGAAATCCTAGATCAGTGCTGACCTAATAGAAATTTATAATTCTGAATTTTCTAATAGCCACATTGAAAAAATAAAAAGTAGGTGAAATGAATGTAATAATATTTTATTTAACTAAATATATCTAAAATTTTATCACTTCAATGTATAATCAATATACAAATATTGAGATATTACACAAACTTTTCTGAACTAAATCTTCAAAATCTGACATGTATTTTATCCTCATTACACATCTTCATTCAAGAGCTAAGTTTTCACCAGGAACACCTATTATGTATTTAAAGTTCATAAAGTTTGTAGTGGTTTTACATATCCAGGTTGTTTCAAACATGTTACAATTTCCCAATAACTGAATCTAATACCAGTTTTTATTTAAATAGATTAAAAATAAAGTTTTAAAAACTCAGCTCATTTATTTATGTAGTTAACAGCCTCATAAAGCTACTGGCTATCATAATGGACAGCACAGTTCTAGACAATAACCACCACAAAAGATGAGAGTAGAATAGATCAGAAGTCAAAGGTCTTGGTTTTGTTCTCAAGGAGAATAAAGACAGAATAATTTTAGGCTTTGTTAGAATAAAATTTAAAGATGGTCATTAACATTTTTAAGACAAGAAATAGGATCTATAAACTTACAAGTCAGGAGAAGTGAAAATAAGCAAATTTTACAAATAAAAGGCAAGGAAGAAAAAAACAAAGCAAGGAAAAATACATGAGAAATAGAAACCACAAAATAAATCATTAAGAATCACAATATAACTAAGCAGACTATACTAATTCATTATAATGTCAAGGGACAGAAGGAAGAAAACAAAACTACATATATTTGATTCCAATTTCACAAATTTTAAAAGATAAACAAATCAACATTATGGATTTGTATATGTCATATGAATCTACACTAATAAAAGAGAAAGATGCAAATTGACCGTACCTTCACAATACCCACCAGCCAATCAGGAGTATGCAAATTAACCCAATAAAGATGGCGGGTTAATTTACATACACAGGCACTGAGCTGCAGGGGAAACTTGCCACGTTCTGCCCCGCCCCAGCAGCTCTGGGCCTCTGGGCAGTGTGGGAAGGTGGAAAGGAAGCTGGCAGCCAGGGGAAGGAAGGCCAATTTTTGCACGAATCTTCATGCATCGGATCTCTAGTATATATAATAAATGCATAAAATCATGGACTGAAAGGATACACACTAAATTCATAATGGTTGTCTCTAGGAAGGCTGACAAGAGAAGGGAACAAAGGGTGTTTCAAATTTGAACTTTAATGATAATATTTTATTTATTACAAATATCTGAACCTAATATGCTAAAAAAAAAAAAAAAAAAGTCAAATTTGTAAATTCTGAGCAGTGGGTAAGTGAGAATATTATAGCATTTCCTGAATTTTTCTGTATTTAATTTTTTTTCCAAACAATATTACCAATATTGTGGGGATAGAACGAGAAGTAAAACCCAGTTTAACAGTGCCACGTCTATTTTCTATTACAAATCCCTTGAGTGGGTTTACTCATAGCATAGTCTGTGTTTTTTTCAATAGCTTATAAATCTGGTTCATATACTGCCTCTTCTTTTTCTATTCAAGACACATAGTTCATAATCACTTCATCTGTGCTGATCTGAAGGAACTGGAGAAGGGCAAGACTGGAAGCCTACAAACACTGATTCAAAATTTTCCCTCTCATACTGGTGTGGAAGGAGAATGGGGCAGAGAGAGCATGGATTCCTTCAGCAGCTGGCCAATGGTACTATACCCTTTCTTTCTTTACACAAAGATGCCTGGGTCCTGGATCTGAGGGCACTAAAGTGTACTTAAGAGGACACAACCATATTTTTCTTAAGACTACAACAGGACCAGCAGTCCTTATCAGGAAAGCAAGAATAGAACTTTGGAATGTTTATTCTATAGACCACGGTGGGCAATCTCTTTTTTCTGCCCAGGGCCATTTGGATATTTATAACATCATTTGTGGGCATTCAAAATTATCAATGTAAAAATCAGCCTGCTATATTTGGTCAAACATTGAATTAACTCACTCCTAATGCATGGCAGGGCTAGCCCAAATGATTTTACAGGTCTTATATGGCCCTTGGGCCGGACGTTCCCCACCCCTGCTATAGATCATCCATATGGAATCAACAGGAAAAATTATCCAGTTGCTGAGCTTCTCTTTCAATAAACAGCAGATACCAGGCTATTGCTTTATAACTTAAATGAGTTAGTTGCATTATTATAACCATTTGCCAGCAGCCATAGAACAAATCCAGTCTCAATGTGTAAAAGCTGGGAATAGATATAACCAATGATCACTTCTTTTAACCTGGGAAATGTATTACTTGGAGGTGGTTTGTCTTTAATTTATTGGCC